ATTTAATAAATTTCTTTAAATATAAAATATTAAAAACATTTACTCACAGATATTGGAAATTTTGGAGGTATATGAATTATTTCCACATAAATTTGAAAACTTGTTGTGCATGTTCTCTATTTAAATTGTTTAAGTATTCTATAAAAATATTATTATATAAATTTTTACATTTGTCTGTATTTAACCCATTATTTATTTCAATTTCATCTAAATATTCTATAATATCATTCCCATTTTCTACCACTATATAAAAATCAGCTAATTCTACCCAATTGCAATGTTTTTTTAATTCCTATTAAAAAAACTTGTTATTTTTAAAATACAACCATTTTATATTGTCATTAAAATTTAAAATCTAATGTCAAATTTGTCAAAACCCTTGCAGAGCTGGTCTATGAGTTGTATTTTAGAAGTATATAATTCTTGTTTTGCTATAAATTCAGATAACCTATGAATATCTCCTTTCAAATAGTTGTTTGTTTTGCTCTATGAAATAAATAGTAAAATTGTAATGGGGTTTGTCATGTCACATGATACAATAAGATTAGTTACCTGAATTGAAATTCTTTTACACCATAATTCTAAATCTTTATCATCTTTGTTGTCATTTTTTTTTCCAAGCTTAGATATAAGATTTTTAAGTGATGGTGATAAAGAATTTGCAACATCAATATAATTTTGCTGAATAGCAGTGATAAGTCCATTAAAAAAAGAACTGTAAATTTTCTTTTATTATTCCAATATTATTGCATTCATCATTTTTTAACATAGTTGCCTTTTTTGCATTGCTTAAATCTATTTTAGATAATTTGAATGCTATTTGTATCATCAGTTGAGTTGGTATAATATTATTTGATAAATCTGGCTGGTTGGAAATATTTTCTGGGAAGTATTGTTTGATTCTGACAAAATCCAATTTCCTTATGTTTTTCATCACAACTGAACTTCTTAGAGCCACACCCCATTCTTTTATGTAAATGGCCTCCATTGGCTTCAAACAATCAGAACAAATATACAAAGAACAGGAGCTATTTGTTGATTTATCAGAAATTGGGACATAGCTTTGCAAGATTGCAATCCCAGGCAAGGGACTCTAATGGCTTCGCCCACATACAGTCCATGAATGTTCAGAACATCCATTACATGTAAAAAAGCTTTTGAATTTTTTACAAAGTAAGCAATGTGTATGATGCAATTTACTTTGTTCTGTTTGTAAATATTCATGTTTCTCATTATGTAACATGTTCTGATCATAGAGAAAGTGCTGATAACAGACACCAAGTTCATGTAGATTATTTTTACATTGCTCTACAGCATCATGGACAACTTCCCAAATACCTTTAAGTTGGGCAAGAGGTCTGTTGAAATCTCCTCCATGATTAAGCTTTGTTGCATCTTTGAATTCTTTCATTATCCACAGTTACACAGCATAGTGGAAGTTTGTTGTTACACTAAATGTTGTACAGACTCATTGGGCACCTTCAAAAATTATTAGATTGAGGTTGAAATAATTAATGATTTTGGTAAGAAATTTATTCAAGAAAGTTGGAATAATGATTTAATCAAATGGATTGTTACATCTGATCAACCTTTTATGGTTGTTGAAAGTGATTTCTTTAAAACTATGATCAAAAGACTTAAACCTGAAGCAAAAAATTTTTCTGTTGATACTATACATAACAATATTTTTAAATCATTTAATGAAAATCTAATTTTTATAAAGAATCTACTTCAAGAAGTGCCTGGACAAATTTCATTCACACTTGATTCTTGGACATCAAAGAATCAAGTTCCTTTCCTTGGTATAACAGCACATTGGATTTCAAAAGATTGGGAGCTTAAAGCATTCTTCTGGGTTTTTGTCACTTAGAAGGTTCTCACTCTGGTGAAGTATTTTTTAATAATTAAATGAAAAATCATGTTTTTTTTTTATAATGTAGATTTTAGGCATAGCAACAGACAATGCAAGCAATATGAATTCAATGTTTAATTGTTTGGAACAGGCTCTTTGTAGTGAGGGAATTCATTTTGATGCAGGGAACCAAAGAATATGTTGTTTGGCCCATATAATCAACTTGGCAGCCCAAGAAGCCTTAAAATCACTTAAAGGAATGGGTCCAGAAAAAAAAGATGATGCTTTAGGGGAAGATGATGACAAAATTAATGTTATCAAGAAGGTAAAATGAAAATTTTTTTATTTACTTTTTACTATTTTATTAATTAAAATCATTTTTATTATAGCTTAGAAAGCTAGTTGTTAAAATAAGAAGCTCTCCACAATGACATGAACATTTTAGTCATCAATGCATTGCATTAAATATTAATGATTTGCAATTGATTCCTGATATCAAAACTTGTTGGAATTCTAGTTTTGAGATGATGAAACATGCATTACTTCTATGTGAGGTAAAATTATTGTTTAATATTTTATTTGTGAACTTTCTCAAAAATTAATCCTTTTCATTTTTTTATTAGCCATTTCATAATATGGTCTCAGCTGACAAAGAACTTAGATCATACATATTATTGAAAAAATTTCAAATTTATTGGAGGTAGTTTGATTTATATTTTTAAATTTTCAAAGGTGTATTTATTAATTTTTATTTTTTATAGTGCTTTCAAATAGCAACATCCAAATTAGTAATGCTCATTATCCTACTTTAGGACAATCAGTTCCTATATACAATTACTTGATTGATTTAATTGAAGATTTTCTTGAGAAAGCTAAAGATAAATTGCAAAAATTTTACCCAACTTCAGATGGGTTAGTTTACATAGTTGCAACCAGTATGCTGTTTGTTTATTATAATAAAATATAAAATGTTTATTGCTATAAATTTTAATAGTCATGGACCCTTGTCTGAAAATGCATGACTATATTGAAATGTATAAAGAAAAGATTTCAGATTTATGGAAAATAGAATATATGCCAATCCAGGAGCATGATACTACTATTCAAACCACCAAACCACCAAATACACTTGAATCTCACATACTTAAAAGACATAAAAACATCCAAACAGATGAACTTGACATGTATTTAAACAGTCCTCCATTAAATTTTGTTACAGATGTTTTGTCATTTTGGAAGGTAAAGACTTTACAATATTATAAATTACTTATATATTAAGTATATAAAAAAAACATTTAAAATTGTTTTTTAGGCTCATGGAATATCCTAATTTATCAAGAATAGTTGGCTTATTTAAGATTAGATTTATTAATTTCTAATAAACCTATTACTTATTATAGCCACTAGTGTCCCAATTGAATGGGTTTTCTCTGGGGGCACAGACTTAATTAATCAAAGGCGATGTAGTTTAGAGCCTAAAACAATAAGAATTTGTATGTGTTTAAAAAGCTGGTTGCAGCAATGAATTTGTTTTAATAAATAAATAATTTGTAAATGGATCTTCATTACCATAGTCAAACCTTGTTATAATGAAGTGTAACCTAATTAAATATATGTTATAATGACTTTTAACATTTCTGAAATCCGTTATAACATGACTAATAAATTTGTTATTATTATTATAACAGATTTTTAAATGTCTAAAATCCTTTATAACTTCATGAATATAGAAACAGGATCCTTCCAGCATTTTTACTTCGCAACACAAGTCATTATGTTATGTTTATTTTTGCATAGTTAACAAATTTAGGATACCTGAAATTTTTGGTTCAAATGTAAACTGAACTGAACTGTTTGGAGCTTTATTTATGATAATAAAATTTTTTTATGATAATATAAATTTTTAATGATAAGGGAGCTGACATATATGGGACTAGAGTCTGGCTCACTAGCGAAGCCATGTTAGCAAGCAAAAAAAACATGAATAAATACAATATAATAATAAAAATAATAAAAATAAATGGTGTGTGTGTGACCTTGATACGATGATGATGATGCTGTTGCTATGGTTATGACTGGTGCAAGATAATGATGATGATGTTTTAGTTGTTGATGAAAGACATTATACGTTAAAAGATTTTTTTCAAAAGAAAAAAAAATATTATTTACCTTTAACAAAAAATTTTGTTTTGCCAATTGTTAATTAGTAGTAGTAGGAGTATGTATTATTACTACTATTATTGTTGTCGTTGTTAGTGAAATAAAGACATTTTAAATGAATTTTTTAAAGCGTGTGAGATAAAAAACAATTTTATTTACCAAATTTGATTATTCAATGCAAAAATAAGAAAAAAATTGTTCCACAAAAAAAAACTATCAAGATAACTAGTATTAAAACGTTTATAAAACGTTTTTCGTGAATTTCTCTAAAACTTATTAACCAACACCCCCCATAAAGTAATAACCATATGAAAGCTTAAAGTATTCTACACCTTCTCATTTACTATCAAGTCTTTTAAAGTGATATTGAAAAATAATCTGAGCTTTGAAGTGAAAAAGTAACACCGTCTTTGAATAGTTGTGAATTCATGTAGAGAAGACCTTTCGATATGAAGTGGTATTCATTAGAAAGCTTTAATGGAGTACTTTCATTTTACTCTAACAACGAAGTTCGAGTTTATTATAAAAATAACAAGATATTTTAAAAAAAACTTCATGTGTCACGAATTTCGAATTTATTTTCACATAGATGTGAAATGTCCTGTGACTACTATTAACACACATAATAATAAGTAGATGTACGCCATGATGACTGCATTTTCTAAACGGACGAATTCAGATGTACTTTTTCTATATAGAGGTGCTCTAATCAATTCGGACAATACTTTTTTTTTCATCTATTATACTATATTAACACATAAGTAGATAGATGTACGCCATGATGACTACATTTTCTAAACGGACGAATTCAGATGTACTTTTGTTTCATCTATTTATAAAGTTTACGCCATTATGATGACTGCATTTTTTAATAATCTGAACGGGTGAATATAAACATACATACGAAATCTTTTTTTTTTTTATCGAAAAATATATTTTTTTTAAAAAAAAAATTTATCCTTTACAAATTTTTTCATATGTACATTGAAAAAGTTTTTATTTATTAAAAAAATGGAAGAAAATAATATTGACATTATAGAAGTAGTAACAGTATTGAATACAGAAAAAGATAAAATATCAATTACAAAAGATGATAATTATAATTTAAATACAAATGATATAAATGATGATGCTATTCAACAACAAAATAATCCACATAATGGATGTGATATTGATGAAATAAAATATAGTCCTAATTTAA